AGCTCCTGCCCACACAGGGCTCCCCTTCGTGTACCCACGTATCCCGGGTGACAGGAGGTGGGACACAGAATCATTTAGGTTGGAGAACACCCTTAAAACCACTGAGTCCAACTATTAACGCAGCACTGCCCAAACCCCCACTGACCCATGTCCCTCAGAACCACGTCTGCGTGGCTTCTAAACTCCTCCAGGGATGGTGACTCCACCATGTCCCTGGGCAGCCTCTGCCAAGGCTTAATAACCCTTTTGGGGAAGAGATTTTCCCCTATATCCATCCTAAACATCCCCTGGAGACACTTGAGGCTGTTTCCTCTTGTCCCATGGCCTGTTCCGTGGGAGAAGAGACCGACCTCCCCTGGGAGGTCTACACCCTCCTTTTGGGGAGTTGTAGAGAGCGCACTCACAGAGTCCTCCCCTACACCATATCCCTCAGCACTGCATCTAAACGTCCCTTAAACACATCCAGGGATGGTGACTCCACCCCCTCCCTGGGCAGCCTGTTCCAATGACCCACTACTCTTTCAGTGAAAAATTCCTTCTTAATGTTCAATCTAAACCTACCCTGAAGGTCCTGCAGAAAACGGATCTGATGTTTCTCAGGGAGCCTGAGGATTTCTAGCTGCTGAGGACAATCAGTGCATGGGAATTCGTGCAAAAAATACTTCTACTGCAGATTTTAAGTTTATAACCCATTTTCTACATGTCTAAACCACCTCTCAAAGGCAGAGCCACCGGAAGTGCCTGTGACCACAGCCTAATAACTGTGCCTCACGCAGCATTACCAAATAATATAGTGCTTGCTGTGAAGTGTAATGGAAATACAACCTGGCGACGGCTAGGGGAGGCTGCACAGCCCACTGTGACACACTGCAGCTCGCTCCAGTTCTGGATTCACTGACACACCAGCCTAAACAGAAGATACAGTAACCTAAATAGAGGAAAAAGGAACGGTTTTGGCCTCATGTCTGCAGATTCCTCAGCAAATTGCATAATGTGGGGAAACAGCTTCCTCCTGAGTCACGAGCGTGAGCAGGAATTGGCTGTATTTAGAAAAGCTGATATTTCTACCAAATCTTTAGCAGGAAGAAACACAATGACATAACCCAAACACAATTCTTTTTTTAAATTATTTTTTGTTTGGCAGCTGTTGCAGACGGGCAGCAGCAAAGTGCTGTCTGAAGGCAGAGTGGCAATCAGCCCCCGGGGTTAATTACGGGAGCTGATCACACCCTCCAACCCTGAGCTGCTACTTCCCTGCGGCCGGACTCCCAAGGTTTTCCTCTACACTGAGAGAAAATCCACAAAATTTCAGGTACAGAACAGTCTTTTAGTTCCTATTCCTGTTTTCCTGGGCCATTGACAGTGAACACAGTGTAGAAGTTTAATTACTCCCGTTATTTTCCTTCACCGCCCTATTTAAGGAGAGTTTATGGTGATATCCTGTTGTGACCTTCCTAAAACCTTCTCATCTATTTTCAGTAAATGACATTTTGCCAAATATAGTTATTTTTCATGTTGAAGACTAATCTGTAATCCCCCACGAGGGACCCACCAGCGCACGTCTGCTGTATAAAAAGGCAAGACAAGTTGGTGGTTGGCTAATACAGAAAGACTATGGATAATCTGGCCCAGTATGTTTCCCCCTTTTGCCTCAAAGTTCCCTTTACCATCTGATATTTTTTCCCCTTTCTAGCACAGCAACCCCAGGCTGGGTTTTGCTGCAGGAGAGACCTGTTGCTGCGGGGGCTCTGGCAGGAGGTGTCAGTTCCTGAAGCCAAACAAGATCCTTCTCTTTCAGGACGACTCGGAATAGAACTAGTACACCAGGGACATGGCACAAATTATACGAAAATCCAATTTTGACAGCTATTTTCATTGCCAGAAGCCATGAAGTCTGGGCAGCTCTACACTGGAACCAAATGCATTTATTTACACTGATTGTTGTTCTGTCCAGTCCCCCAAGCCTTGCAGCTGCCTGCAGGAACCCCATGGAGCTCTACGTGGTTCACAGCCAGACACCACGAGGACAGAGGAGATCAGTGACCCCGAGCTCAGAACCAGCCCCAGGGCACACGCAGACAGTGACACCGAGCACACACAGGTGACACCTGGACTTCACCTTCACAGAGCGCATTACAACACACTACAAGTTGTCCTACAAAGTCAATTGGTGAAATGGTGGTAAAAGCAGCCGGAGTGGGGCATTTCCACTGAGTTTCAGGATGATTTAAACCAACACAGAACCCAAGGAGCCTCGGCAGCATCTTACAGGTGCTGTACCCACACAAAGCTGGGGTTTTAGCACCAGCCTCCAAAGACAAGAGCCCAGTAGCTGCTTCAGGGCCGAAGAGGAGGTGTCTGTCACCTCTGATGGGCACAGAGGGACCCCGCCAGAAACACACCAGCTTCATCTCCTGAAGTAACACCCACCTCCGGGAACAGCCGCCTCTTACCTTGCAGGGGAAGGGCTCGGAGCTGCTCCATGAACATCACTGCTGCTGCTGGAGCCCTGGAAGCGGGGCTGCTCCCGGCTCCCTCCGGCACAGAGCTGCGGGATGCGACGCCCGGGGCTCGATTTTAAACTTCGGGGCTGGTTTTTAAACTTCTCCCCCCGCGCTCCTGATTGGTGCCGCAAGCGGCCCATGTGGGTCTGCAAACGCACACAGGTTTCACTCCTTTCTAAAAATCAAAGTGTCAGTTTGGCTGCTGTCAGGGCACTTTACTTTTGTACATATAAGGAAGTGGCTGTTGATGTTATCTGAAGGCACTTCCTGGTTTATATGCAGATGAGCAAAAATAATGTCACGTTAAGCGAAATTTCAGGCGCAAAGAGCTCTCCAGCCCAAGGCTCTGAGCAGAGTAACACCAGCACAGCCTGTCTGCTCCCCATCTGCCCCAGCCTGCATTCACTCCCTTGATTTTTATCAGAATTCCATATTCTCACGATAAAAACCATCCTCCCCAGTCCTTGCCAAAAAAGAGAGGCTGCACTAACGCTCCTTCCTACCGAGGCTCTGGGGATCTCGAATTCCAGGGGGCTGGGTGGCTGCCGACAGCCCCATCCCAAACAGCACACAGGTGGAAACACGGCCAGCAGCCCAGCAATGCCAACCATAATTCTGGCTGAGTTTGGGCTGGTCTTGAATTTAAGTGACTAGGGATTTTTTACTTTATGTTTTTTTTTAATGAGGAAGGAGGCTTTTGTGTGTTTCAGGCAGGCAGAGCCAGCCCAGGAAGCGGCCGTGTAGGAGTGCTGCATTCCAGAGCTGCACTGCTCACCACCAAAGGAATCCTCCTAATTGGAAATTAATGCTCTTCTGGTTACTTTAAAGCAGAGCAAACAAACGCACCGACTGAAAGCAAAGCCTGTTTCCACTTAGAAACTCTTCTCTCTTGTAGAGGGAAACAGCAGCAAAGGGCACGGCGGTACCAAGGAGGAGAAGGGCCAGCAGCATCCCATGTCCCCTGGTCCCCCAGGGGCCAGGACTGTCCCTGCCAGGAGGTTCTGCCACTGCCACCCATTCCCCGGAACCAGAACCAGGTCACCCAGTAACCAGGTTACCAGTCCCAGTTTACCCAGTAACCAGGTTACCAGTCCCAGGTCCCGAGATGAGCCACAGTTGGGGGGGGGCTGAAGCCCTTTGCACTTTCTACTTTCATGACAGCTTTCACTCCCTGGATGTCACACACGAGTCCGGTTTTATACACAGCAAGGTCATGAAACTTCAGGTTTTACTGGAGGAAACCAAAAGAATCTTTTCAGATGCACAAAGTAAATTAAATACTAAAAGTGAAAGAAAGTTTTCTTCCCCGTGGACTTCACAGCTCAGCTCTTTTCTGTATGTGTCTGAGACTGTCAGCTCTGATACTGGTCTGTGCCCGGAGAAATCAGCGCAGAGAAGTGTGGGTCACACTTACACAATTACTGTCCCTGAAATAACAGCGAGTTACAGCGTGTCACCTACGAGATGCCTTACAAATATCAGAATTTAAAAATGCTTCAAGCAAAGATTTTTTAACCATTTATCATCACAGTACCTTATTTTATCTCATTAACCAGTTTGGGATGATTTAATGTTGGTGTAAAGTTATGTTATGGCCAAGAAACGGCGCTGGGAAGATAAACCAGGTGTTGCGTTTAGTGACAGAAGAGTGAGAGCTACCACAGGAAAATTAAGTCATGAGACCTAGAAGTAGGAAAGTCCAATTTGCAGTATGTTTATGGCCTGGCACCGGCTGATTTGAATGTCTGCAGAGAGGGAGGCTGCACAAATCTGTCCTGCAGCTGGGGCAGCGGCTTCGCCCCCGTGTGTTCCCACCCGTCCCCTAAAGCAGGGGTTCCAGCTGCAGCCTTTCGCGCCCTCGGAGCAGCTCTGGTGCTGCTTCTCCCCTCCAATGTGAAAAGCAGGGACAGAACAATCTTTGTAACTCCTCCAGTTACTCGTTTAATTTGTATGAAATTAGTATTAAAAGCTACAGTTCAAAACCAAAATCAAGAACCAAGCGCCTCCGCTGAGTGGCGAAGACACCAGGATACAATCAGAGTGAAATCCACTATTTTCTCTTCTTGCACTACCAAAACCATTCTTCTGTAGAAAATCCAGAATGTGGGTATCCTCAAAACGCTGCTGAACCATCCGGCTTCAGCAACCACCCAGGAACAGGAGGGAGCACAAACCAGCACGCCCCTGGATTAGCTGAGCTTGTAAACGCTGTCACATTCACTAGTCGAGTACCCAAAGGCTGCCCGGGTTTTGAGGGAAAGGAGTCCAAGGACAGAAAAGGGTGCAGTGGCTCAAGCCAGACCCTACAGGAGCCATCAGTTCACGTAACAGCTTTAACCCCAGAGCCCCCCTGCTCATTCCCAGTCAGCGCCGCAGCCAAAGGCATCGAAGAGGCCTCTTGTCTTCATAAGGCACCAGATGTAATGGAAAATAACCCTAAAGTGCTTCACAGACACAGAGCATGTTAAAATCACTGCTCCTGAAATGGAAAATTACCTTTCCTTTTCCATCTGCTTTTCTTCCCATCCTTGTTAGCGCACCCGTCGCTGCTGCTGCTGCTGCTGCTGCAGTTCTCGGAGCTCTGGGAGTCGGACTGGGCATCGCTGCTCTCCTCCGAGCCGTCCGAGAGCTCCTTCAGCCCGTCCGGGACGTCCTTCTGCAGAGGGGAGGGACGGACAGGGTCACCCACTCACAGCACACCCTCCAACTAACACCATGCTGCAGAGTAGCGCGTTTATTTACCCAGCACTGTGTGGATATTTTTATGCTGCAATGTCAGAACTGCTCAGCCTCTGGCTTCTGAAACACTCTTCTGTGAGTTCATATAAAATATTAACCCTCTTTTGTGGCACAGCACCCTCGCTGTCACTCAGCAGAGACACCCATCCTCACGCTGTACCCGTCTCTGCCACCCCCAATCACCCACTCCAACATGCTGACAAAAACCACTCCATTGCTGAATTCCCCAACAGAAGTTATGAACAGCTCAGTCCCACCGTCCCAGGCAGCGTTATTTTCCCAAATTCCCCCTGGCAGGGCCTGGCCTGTGGCACAGGTGCTCCTGAGAGCACCCCCGGGGTGTTTCTGCCCCAGGGCTGGGTGTGGGTTCTCCACACTCGCACCTCACTGACATTGGCTCCATCACACCTAAACCCAGAGTGCCCTCTAGTGACCATCCCGCCATCAGAACCTCCCCTACGCTGCACATTAGTGCTAATTGGCGACAACAAATTGTTTTCTGCTTCAGCTCTGGTCCTTAACGTCACCGCTGTCCCACCACCCAAAACCGCCCGGGACATCTCACAGAGGCTGAGCCCAGGGGGGCAGGACAGTGGCTGGAGGCACCAGCTCATCCCCACCCGAGACTGGCCACTCTCCAGACACTGGGACAGGCTGCCCAGGGACCTGCTGGAGTCCCCATCCCTGGAAGGATTTAAAAGCTCTGGTCCTTAACGTCACCGCTGTCCCACCACCCAAAACCGCCCGGGACATCTCACAGAGGCTGAGCCCAGGGGGGCAGGACAGTGGCTGGAGGCACCAGCTCATCCCCCCCTGAGACCGGCCACTCTCCAGACACTGGGACAGGCTGCCCAGGGACCTGCTGGAGTCCCCATCCCTGGAAGGATTTAAAAGCCAGGCAGATGTGGTGCTGAGGGACATGGGTCAGTGGTGGGTTGGGCAGTGTTGGGTTGACGGTTGGACTTGATGGTCTGAATCTCCTCATAGACACTATTATTTCTCTCCATCGAGCATGGAGTGAGACAAGGAAAGCGGTTCCAGTAGAGACCCCTACACTGGAGGGGTCTGTGTAAGGACAGGAATCCCATCTTACGGCACAGCCTTCAGAGGAAAAGTTATAGAAAATCAAGAACAGTGTGAGCTGGCTTCCTTCTAGCAGTATAGCTGGGGAAAAAGGTTTCAAATAAAGATTATTTTTAAAGATGTTAATCAGTTAAATGAAGGAATCCACATTTTTTCCCCTACAAACGTTCTCTGCTATCAATAGACTGAGGATAAGGGAAATTTTCATTTCTAGATACAAGTTGAGATTGGTGAAGATGAAGTTATCCTTTTTGGGCTAAAGTGTTATTACAATTTTAACTACTCTTATTTCTCTTATTTCACAGCAAACTACACTGCTGTGAGTAAAACCAGCGCCTTCAGCTGTATTTCAGCAGAAGCACAAAGATTCAGTGTCTGCATCTGGAGGGCAAGTTGATGCTACAACTCACAGCGTTGAAGAATAGTTCCCTCTTCAGGATTATCCTAATCCAGTGGATTTTTAAATAGATTAAAGTCAATTCAAACGGAATTCCCCAGCCAAGAGACTCACCTTCAGGGTGTAGACTCCCATGCGCCCCGGGACCTTATAGAAGATGCCCTCTTCCCCTCGGGAGTTGGTGTGGAGCATGGCATTCAGGCAGGCCAGAGGAGATGTCCCACTGGAACCAGAAACACAGGGTTAACGGCATCCGAAGGGACCTGCTCAGTGTTCTCCTCCTGCCAGGACACAGCCCGGCCCCTGGCCCCACCGACACGCATGCAGAGGCGGAGAGAGTCCGGATCCAACTTCTACTCTCCAGGAGAATACAAGTTGAAGCTGCCGGAACAAGCACCAGTGAAACCAGCCCGTGGATCCACACCCACACTCCAGCCCCGGATAAAAAAATCAAACAGAGAAGCCCCCACGTTCAAGCTCTCCAATAGCTTTTTTCAGAACATCAAGGTGGTCACACGTTTTCAAAGCTCCAGATATTCAACGTTGCTCATCTGAAACTCAGCAGATTCGGTGTGAGCTAACAGCTGACTGCGGAGCTAGTTAAAATTGGGGTTTTTTTCTTTAAGAGAACCCAGAGCACGCTGAAATGAGTGTTGTGGGATAAATAACAGAAGCCAATTGTGTAATTTTCCCTGAAAAGTGTGGAGATCTCTGATCCCAGCCAGAGAACCGAGACAGAAGATCCATCTCTTCACCGGTGCTGGTGAGGGTTTCTCTGTTTGGTTTTTCCAACCCGTCCCGCTGCAGCAGAAGCAAAATCAGGTGGACACGGCTGGGCAGGAGACTCCTGCTCCCACTGCAGGGCCAGGCTCATCACACCCTCCAGGAAATAGGTGGTTTTGGTGATAAAGCACATTGGAATCAAGCACAACCCCTAGACAGCAGCTGTGAGATGGAGTCTCTGCCCCCCACTGCCCTGCCACCCAGGCTGGAACCAGAACCATCGAATTCAAACCTAAATTTGTGACCGATCCACTGAAATCCCCGAGCAGGAGAGGCAGCTGTTTGTCTATGAACATTCAAACAAATCCCACCAAAAGCAGGGAAAATCCCCCAGGAGGGAAGGGGAATGGAGGGGAGGAGGCGTGGAGCCCTTGGGCGATGCCAGCAGAGCACACGCACTCCCAGCTCTGCCCCAGAGAGGAAAACCAGCCCAGCTGAACTTCCCACTCCTGGTACCAGGAGAAGGAAATGTCCTGGAACAGGTCTGGTCTCCTCCACCCCAGCGTGTCCAAGGTAATGGACAGGAGACCGTACAAGGAACACTGGCCAGAAAGGGCAGCTCAGGAATCACAGCAGAAATTCCATCAGGAAAGGAGGGATAGGATTTATGTCACTTCACCTAATCCCAGCTCTGCTGACCATTAACAAGACCTGGTCCCCGTCAGAGGGACCTCCATTGGCAGGGAACCATCCCGGTCCCCCTGCCCACAGCACCTCAGACCGGGATCCCACAGGTTCCTCACTCCTCCAGTTGAGAAATGGGTTTAGAGAAGTCCTCGAGTTCTGGGGAGCTCTGTAGTCGTGGCTGGGACACCCCAGGGCTCAGGCACAAGCCTGGGCAGCAGAGATGCCACCAGGAGAGAGCTCCCTGGGGCTGCAGCCCACAGTCAGAGCAAAATGGAGTTCTGGGGAGCTCCGTGGTCGTGGCTGGGACACCCCAGGGCTCAGGCACAAGCCTGGGCAGCAGAGATGCCACCAGCAGAGAGCTCCCTGGGGCTGCAGCCCACAGTCAGAGCAAAACACCTCCTTCAAACCCATGTTATTCCAAGCAAAGGGCCAGAAAACAGCCTCTAGAGCATCCTTGTGCTGCAGGATCTCATGCTCCCTGAGTTTTTGCCAGCGTAATGGAGCAACCCGGTGTGGTGGGAGGTGTCCCTGCCCAGGGCAAGGGGTTGGGATGGGCTTTAAAAGTCCCTTCCCACCCAAACCATTCAGTGATTCTATGATATGACAGAGAAACCACTATCAGCATCTCACTTTGATCCCCGCCAAGAGTACATGCCTGTCTTCAGACATCTCGGTTGATAATCCAGCCAAAATCCCTACCCCTGAAGAAAAGCTTTTCCTAAACACATCTGCACACACCAGACCACCTGTCTCCATCACCTCCTTGACTGACCCCACCAAAATCAGCTCTCGACTCATCGTTCCTGCTGCTCCCATGGCTTTTCCATGCCCCTTCCCCATTGCTGAGGGAAACATGAACACCATGGCTGGAAGCCACTCTTCCCACAGCAGCTTCACCACGGCCACGCACTAACTTTACAAGACCTTCACAGTCCTCTTCTCCAGAAAGCCCCAGGGTCTCCCTGGGAGCCGTAATTCAGTGTGATTTCCTACAGCAACCCCAATTCTTTTCCAAAGGCTCCCCGGGGTACAGCCTTCCCCTCTTCTCCTCCTTGCTCCCGGGGGCATTTCTGCTCGTGAATACTTTGCACGAACCCAACACAAGGATATTTCAGGCCCGGCTGTACCTGAAATATAAACAATATCCCTGTCCTTCTCCCAGCAGCGTTTACCATCATTCCTCTTATCGCTGCATCTAGAAAATTCCCATTTTATGCCTCTTTCCAGGTCACTGATAGCGTGTTGGAGAGCAGTGGGAGCTCTGGGGCAGTCTGGCACCTCCGGGGCTTCCACCAAACCCACCCCACTGTTTAACTGCTCACCCACTAGTCCTGCATCCTTTTTCTCTCACGTTTCCTCATCTATAGATCCGTGTCTTCCTCTACAGGCTCTTCTAAGAAAGCTGGCACTAACGTAACGCTATTCGAGCCTTTCACAAAGCTTATTACAAAAATGATAGAAGCTAAAATTCAGTCAACAAGCCCTGCCTAACTTTAAAAAAAAAAAAAAAAAAAGGGGGGGGAGGGTGGTATTAATTTGGATCTAAGATGTGTGGTCTTCATGAGGTGCTATGTTCTTTCTGCCTCCATGAGCGACTGATCCAGACCTTGATTTGACCTACAAACCTCCAACGTTTTCTTCTACTAATTGAGTTTGTGACGTCCTTATCTGGGATAAGCAGTGGGTTCAACTCCAAACTCAGTTTCATGGCCCCCAGCTAGAAGGCTTTTATAAATAAACAAATGGACTTGAATCAAGCAGCTTTATCTAGACAGGGCACGTTTAGGATTTTACCGAACGGCTGGGGTTTCCCCCACGAACCAGACGTGATGTTTTGTTAAAACATTATGTCACACCCTGAATTTTTACAGCTTAGAGATCCAGTGCTCATTCCAGTAAGTTTTTCAACCCAGATAAATATTTTTACATCACATGTGCTAACAAATAGGGTAAAAACCATATTATTTCCCATTCAGCTTATGCATTATTGAGACAGGATAAGAATTCCTGACTGGCAGGTTTGGGAAGAGCTGCTCAGGGGTTCCCAGCTCACAGGAGCTCCCACTAAAGTGAAAAAAAAAATCCTAAGTCTCTTTGTAAGAGTTTAGAAGAAGGAAAGGTAACTATAACAACATTTACCAGGATGAATTTGGTTTCCATGGCATTGCAAGTGCACACTGAAACTTCCTAGATTTTACTTCTCAAAAAGCTAAAAATAGCGCTGTAGATCTGCCAAAACACGGGCAGCAAACTCAGCAGAGGCAGGAGTGGTGGAGCCAGCGCAGGGTCACAGCCCCAGCTCCCCTGCCCACACCGAGGATCTCCTCCAAGCCAACTGGGAAACACTGATTTGTTCACTGCCTGAAGCTTTACATCATTCTGTCCCATCCCTTACCCACAGTGTGTTTCATCTTGGGACAAGCTGGGGAGTAACACACCCACCCATTCTGAGCCACTTCTGGCACAAGCAACAGAAATTAAGTGCTGTTTCAAACCACAGCATCAAGAATATTTTCGTTTACAGGTGCTGTTTCGGGGGGGGTGACACCCAGTGATGGGGCTGAGCAAACATGTTCTTCAACTCGGGTATTACCAGAGCAGGTAAAAGTTGTTTTTTTTTTTTTACACTGTTGACTAAACAAGGGGTTTTGGCAGCTTCTAAATACTCTGCTTTGAAAGTTGAAATTTTTCATATCTGCACTTCCACTCCATCCATAAATCAGAAAATTGATCTCAAAGTGACCAAGAGCAAGTGACAGCCCCTCTGCCTGCAGAACAGGCGTGTTCTTTACATATTCTATTCGATTGCTGAGAGGGCTATGATATTATTATATATTGTAGACTATTATACTATACTAATTGTATAGTATAATAGTCATTTTTGTAGTTCAGAGATAGTTGTAAGGCCAGTCAATGGCATAAGAAACACATAGTGTGAGCTCTTGCCCCCCAAGGATTTCTCTGAGCTACCTGCTGGGTGGGACACCTACATACCAAGTTTTCCTTCTGAGAATGGCCAGATTTAAGCCATCCTTAAATCACAACATTTTAAACTCCACATTCCTTCAGCCTGATCAGGAAAGAAGGGTGTGAGGGTGTTAAAGGTGCAGGGGGCTAAGGCCAGGGCTCTCTACCCCGAGCTTGTTGAGGCAGATGGAGGGTTTCTTCCCACACTTCCAGTCCCTGTGAACCCACTTGTGGTGGGTCACACGTGGATGGGACACTGGAGTGAAATTTTCCAATTGTGTGGTATTTGAACTGAAAAATTCTGCCCTCCAAGCATCACACAAGGTGTGTTTATCTATGGAAAGGTTACCTTATATTAAAGCTCCTTTTTTTTCCATTTGGTTAGCAGATTTTAGAGGATTCTCCACATGGAGGCTCCTCTATGTGGAGGAGCCAGCAGATCCCCCAGCACAGGACCCCCACCCCAGAGCAGACAGAGGGGCAGCTCCTGATGCTGCTGGGCACAAAACACCACTTGGAACCCCCTGGTTCCCCACCAGGGGCCTCAGCACCAGAGAAGAGTTATTTATCACCTTCTGCTCTAAGTGGAAGCTTAGTACAAAGCGCACCCACCGGCGAGCGTCTCCGTTCCCCACGGGCACTGTGCGCTGATGGGGCTGGGTAAAAAAAGCCCCAATGAAGTGAACTGGGTTTAAGGGTGAGGGGGTTTCCCATTTTCCCCACTTTCCACTCGAATCAGACATTCACACAAACAGCCTCTTGTTTATTAGTGTATTAAAATATGATGGTTTTTAAAAAAAACCCAACAGTTTCAGGCGGAGGGGAGTGTCAGAGCAGAGAGGTACTGAAGCAGACCCTGCCACACCACCCTCAGGCTTGTTAACCACATTGTTCATTGAGGAAGAAAAGCAGCTTGCTTTAGGTGTTAAGATTTCACTTCACCCAAAATGCAGTGCACAAGCCCAGGCCATGCATCCCCAGCACCCCCCGCTCCCCGGGGCAGGCGTGCAGAGAGCAGGGTTAGGGACTGACACACACACACATGGACACACACACACACACACACACACGCAGCAGCACATGCCAGCAGCCAAAATTTTATTTTCCACGGACTTCACAAGCACAGGGAGCTCTGGGGCTGGCAGGGCAGGGGGCATGCAGGAAAGGCAGGCGCGGGTAGGAGAAGCGTTAAGGCCAGATATACTACCGTTACTTGGGGTCTAAGTCTGCGTGAAACAAGCAGTTGCTCTTAATTAAGGCTTTGGCAGCTTGCGTTAATAGAGAAGAGCAGCTTTAGAACAATCAGCAGTGGTTCTTACCTTCTGGAGTTGGAGTGCAACCCAAAAAAAGGAGAGAAACACCCCTTTAAAAACTTGAGCAAAAACAATCGTCTAATCATTAATATGAACCCTCCCCCCCATCCACCAGAACCAAACTGACAGCGTTTTGGGGAGATTCGCAGTAAAACTGAGCCCAGGTTCTATCAAACAAACACGGGGGAGGAAGACGTAGACCTGTCAGGCTTTTTGAGCCTATTTCCAGAGAAGCTGGCACTCTCTGCCAACCCCAGCACCTCCCGCATCCAGCTAGTTCAGTCTCCACCAGTTATTGAACTTTTTAGAGAAGTCTTGGAAATCTTGGAATCTTTCCTTGGGAGACCTCACACGCAGTTACAGGGATTTCCTGCTCTTACCCTTCCACCCCATCCTCAGCACCCAAACTCCTTGACCCTTTCACACCACCCAAACTCCTTGGGAATTCGTGCTGGATGCAAACAGCAGGAGTTTGGGTGATGGTGGCCCGGTGGTGACCACAGGCTCAGGAGGAGCCACACTGGACCACAGCGTGCCAGGGCCAAGGAGACATGGGTGGGTGAACATCAGCTGGAGGACATCAGCTCTCGGGGACACACCAACACTGGGCTTCACTTACTGCTCTAATGAATGGGCTGTCACCATGTTGTAGTAAAATTGATATTAACTAGAAAAATGAAATGTGACATGGAATTGAAGCAACCAAGGGAACCTGCTGCTGCTGCTGGAAGTTATCCACACAGCCCCAATAGCTCATTAATTACAGAGAAACACTAACTAGACATGATTAATCTAAGATTGAATTAAGCACCTAACTACTAGACAATGCAGTTTTGTTAATAAGCAGGTATTTCTGTCAAGAGAGTGATGAGCTGCAGGCCTGGGCAGCAAACCCAGAAAACTCCAGGGGCACAAACCAGAATTTCTCCCTAATACCTCATCCAAATCTCCCTCTTGCAGTGTCCAACCCTTCCCCCTCCTCCTAGGGCTCCCCTCCCTCAGCCAGAGTCCCTCCCCATCTCTCCTGGAGCCCCCCTTCTTGAGGGACTGGAAGGGGCTCCAAGGTCTCCCCGGAGCCTTCTCTTCTCCAGGCTGACCCCCCCCAACTCTCTCAGCCCCCCCTCCCAGCAGAGGGGCTCCAGCCCTCCCAGCATCTCCGGGGCCTCCTCTGACCCCCTCCAACAGCTCCATGTCTCTCCTGTGCTGAGGACTCCAAGGCTGGACACAGGACTCCCTGTATCTCCAGCTTTCCCTCTCTTCAGAACATGCCCCATTGGGGAGCTCCTGCCAGGTTCAGACCAGAAAATCCAGAAAAACAGGATAAGTCATGAGCGTCCAGAAGAGACACTCACTGAAGACATCATGAAGGTCTCAAAGAGAATAAATACCATGGTCTTGTGGTCTTCTGTTAAAAACGTTAAGTTGATAACCGTTTTATTTTCTCCAGAAAAAGCCACATCCAACTTTCAGCTGACTAAAGGGAAAAAAACCACAAGAACTTACTGCACCAGCATTTATTGGCCTTTGCTGCTGCCAGCCCCTTCTCCTGAAGGCTTCCAGTAATTAAAAGAGCAATTAAAATGTGCACAGCCTGTGAGACTGGCCCTAAGGCAGCTGCTTCCAACGAAAGCCCCTTTCCTCATCAGCAAAACATCAGGAAAGAGCCCCAGAACCCCGAGTCCTGCACGAGAAAACCCCAAGAGGTCAGTAACACCTTTATGGACATTTTAATACCCATCTTCTAGCAGAATGAAGATAATTAACTATAACCAGCAGAGGTTTGAGGTAACCCAGCCTTGGTAAGAAGCAAGGATACCCCTGCCGTGTCCATCCCCAACACACTCTGTGTCATCAAACCCACAAGACATGAACTCAAGGTGCTCCAGCTCCTGCAGCTCATTTGAAGGCTACATTTAAAGCAGCTGAGGATTAAAGAATGTGTGAAGTAATTTAAACATCCGTCAGCTGATGGCTTCAGCTACCTCCAGCACCTTCCAAGCCAGGTCATCATCTGCAGCTTCATACCCCGAGAGAGGGAAAACCAGAGGTGTTTTGTGCTAACAGTGTGACCTGTCTGACACAGCGTACCCCAGCCACACGAAGCAGAAGCAGCCCCTTTAATTGTACTCCCTGTCCACAGATACATCTATTAAGGCTTTGAGGTATTTCAGGGACTCACAATCTCACAAGAGGCCCTGAAGCCACTTTGCTGAGGAAGATGAGGCCGGGAACCACGACCCAGAGTCATTGAGATGGGGAGGAATCTCTGGAGGTCACCAGTCCAACCTCCAGCTCAAAGCAGGAGCAACTGCATCAGGTGTCTCAGGGCTTTGATCAGTCCAACACTAAGTATCTCCAGCAGTGCAGGTCACACAACCCTCTCTGGTCCTGTGCTAGTGTTTTATCACCCTTATGGGGAGAAAAAAACATTCCCCTCATACTCTAATACTCTACAGCAGACTACATAAGAAAAGTGGGGTTTTGGCAAACACTGGGCTGCCTCCTCGCTGTGTGACACCAGTTACCACCAGGCAAATCTGATCTTACATGTTATTTTAAGAAGTTGTGAAAAGTTTTGCTTGAATAAATTAACCCTGTAAACAAACCAAGGACAACTCCTTCCGGCGTCTCCTCCCGATGGGGTCCTGCAGCCCAGGGCAGGTGAGGGGCTGTGATGCCCAGGCATCAGCTGCTGCCACCAAAACAATTCATTTTGTCCTCAGAGGCCAAGAGAAGCCTTTAGGGAAGGTGACAAAGGCACAGGTGATATGAACTGGAAGGAGTTGCCTGGTGTATTTTCCCCTGCAGTTGCCTTGAGGACAAGTCTCATTGCAGTCTCCAAACACCTCCCATTGGGAGCACCAGCTGCACAACACAACGTGTGTGCAGGAAAGCCTGCTCATACAACAAAGATGCTACACATTACAGTCTTTGCCACTTGACATAAAGATGCTACACATTACAGTCTTTGCCACTAGAAAAAAAATTATTGGTGTGTTTAACTTGTATTGAAGCAGCTCCGTGGTCAGCCGAGGTCAAGGACAGTAAAGGAACACAAGTGTCCTCTGGAGGATGCTCTGCTGTAGGGCCATCCCTGCAGCACCTCTGGCATGTCCTCCCACCCCAGCCATTCCCACCTCCTCTACCCTGCTCCCGTCTGACTCCCTACGCAGCAGCGGCAGGAAAACAAGCTTTACATTGGCTTTCACACTTCAGCACGTTGTCTCCCAGCTCCCTGATGTGGTGAGGAAGCAGGAAAGTGCAAGCGAGCAGAAAACACCATCCTGCAGCAGGTCCCATCTCCACCTCAGGAACCTTCCCCTCCTAGGTCCTTTCTCAGCCAACAGCTCAGATGAGGAGAGGACACTGAGGGAACACTAAAGATGAGCTCATCAGCGTGTCAAGTGGCCTGAAGCCATTTTAAGAGCAACACCATGAAGGTTGCTCTGACCCGAGCTGATTTCCTTCATCAAAATACAGTTAACTCATCAGTAAAATACACTGTCTGCCGTACGGAGACAGCTCCAAGCTGCCAGTGCACAGATAATTCACTAAAGGGAGGCAGCGAGAGATGCAGAGCAAGGAGTTGTCTCCTTGGCATTTTGACTCCAGACATCAAGGATGAAGGCAAAACTCTGGACTTACTCCACAAGAAATTATCAAATGGATTATCAAAAATTCTACCACGATAATTGTGTATATTAGTCAAGCACACTGAAAAGGTGGGCAATGGCTGAGAGATGTTCTTCAACCATAAGGTCATGCCCAGAACCAGACTGAGCTGGTGGAAACGCTTCATTTCTCAAAAGCAAATCGAAGTGCCCAGAGCCACTCTGGAGTTTGCTGAAGGATTCAGTCCACACTTAATGTCCTCTGGCCTTGTGAAAACACTGAACAACTGGAGAAGCTACAGAGGAAGTGAGTTATCACAAGATCTGCTTTTTGGGAGGTAAAACGACGTTATTGGACTCAAACCCAAGATCTGAACTCTCATGGCAGACTCAGACCAGCACATCCTCCCACCGAGTTTTGTGGAGCTGCCCTTCCAGGCAGGGCCAAGGCCACAGCTTGGGCTCCACGGGCAGCCCAGCAGCAGGAGCACGAGCCCTGCCTGCTCTCCATGCCTGCCTCTTCCATCCTTGCACAGCTTCAGTTTTCCCATATCCCTAGTATTTATTTAGGATGGTTATTTCATTCCACGTAGATGAACTGACACATCCAGTTATCTTGCCCCCCACACTTTTCTTTGCTCTTAGGAAACAGAAGTATAAATATTTTCTACTTGTTCCCTCACCAAATCAACCTGTCCCTCTCTGGGAAATACACACCTCAAGAACTGAGCTACAGTAACAGCAGTTCAGGAGCCACCAGCCCAGCTGCTGGGTTTCTAAAGCAGATCGGAGTCACGGGGCCGGTGCCCCCCTTTGCCCAAACACTCCCTCTGCTCCCCGGGGGGACAGGACCATGCTGCAGCTCAACCACACACTGCTCCAGACAGGGCTAAGGAACTACCATGAGGCATAAACTGTTCAAAATAAGGATTTAAAAATGACACTGCTTTTTTACTTCCTGGACAGCTTTCAATTTTGGTTTAGGTCATTTCCATTACAGACTAGTGGCACTGCTTTTTTACTTCCTGGACAGCTTTCAATTTTGGTTTAGGTCATTTCCATTACAGACCAGTCACATTAAAAAAAAAAAAAAAAGTAGTTAAGTTTACTTCAGCACCTGGAACATGAACTACCTGATGAGGACAGCTGACCTTCCAGGAGGTACCCATGGGAGTATCATCCCTATCTACTTTACTTGGTGAAAAGTACCGGTGACTCGAGAGCTGCTTTGCAAACGGGTCCTAGCCCCCAATTCTGCAGGTACTTAACATTTCAGTCCCCAAAATACTTATGAGACAGGGGTTAACAGTAAACTAAACTGTGCTGGAACCAAAGTATGAATGTGCTTTACTGGTACGGACACTGAACTCACCTGATTTCTTTCAGTCCTTCCTTCTGGATAACCTGAAGGATCTCTTTATGGCTCATAGGTGTATTAGGATATTTCTCCAGGACCTGGCGAGGAAAAGCAGATGGAGAGGAAGTTACACATTTGCATTTTCATTTTAACCTTCAACTGCACAGAAAGCTACGTTTAATGGTTTGGACATCTCCATGGATACAGACGAGGAAGAACCACTGGCCTTCTCATCCCATCACCACCCCTTCCCTGAAGGACACAGAGACTCCAGGAGACTGGCAAAAGGACTGGCTTTAGTGCAATTCCCGAGCTTTATTTCAAAAGCACTGGCCCTAGATAACACCTCTTTAAGAGAATTAAATGCTCCACAGCAACAGGGTGGCTTCACAGACACAAGTGTCCCTTGGGAATGCTGCAGGAACCGTCGAGGTACCTCAGACACAAAACTTCCAAAATCCAAATCCTTAACCTTTGCAGAGTTGAACCAACTACTGATCAGTTTCGTTGTAAGCATTACAGAAGTTTTAGGAAATTTGGTGCTTAATGCTGCCAGGATCCTTTGAAAATCTCTGCACACAATTCAGCCTTCAAGTTCCTAACTATGGTCCATGGAAACTGTTCAGTTCCCAGACACACATCCCCCAGCCCACACTGCACAGCCCAGCACCAACCAGCACTCACCTCCCTCCCGAGAGGGCTAAGGGGCTAAAGTCTAACCCAGGACAGCAGGCAGGGAGATGCTGAAGGCTTCTGAAGGAAGCTGCCAGTTACTACACGTCATTTGGATATTTTAAGGAATATTCATGCTGGGGGGGGCTGGGCAGGAAATGCCTCGTTTCCTTCTTAATCATCCGCTTTTGACTCGTGCCCAGCACATCAACCCCCAGTGCTGCCTCCCATCCCCAGCCAGAGAACAGACCCACAGTGGGCTCAGGACAAAACCTACAAGTGACTTTGCAGAAGGAAATTACCTGTTTTAAATTTCTCTGTTCAACAGCCCTGCAGAATATGGGGCTTCCCCTAACACCACCCCCACACACACACTTAGTTCCCAGACACACATCCCCCAGCCCACACTGCACAGCCCAGCACCAACCAGCACTCACCTCCCTCCCGAGAGGGCTAAGGGGCTAAAGTCTAACCCAGGACAGCAGGCAGGGAGATGCTGAAGGCTTCTGAAGGAAGCTGCCAGTTACTACACGTCATTTGGATATTTTAAGGAATATTCATGCTGGGGGGGGCTGGGCAGGAAATGCCTCGTTTCCTTCTTAATCATCCGCTTTTGACCCGTGCCCAGCACATCAACCCCCAGTGCTGCCTCCCATCCCCAGCCAGAGAACAGACCCACAGTGGGCTCAGGACAAAACCTACAAGTGACTTTGCAGAAGGAAATTACCTGTTTTAAATTTCTCTGTTCAACAGCCCTGCAGAATATGGGGCTTCCCCTAACACCACCCCCACACACACACACACACTTTATTCCCTCCAGGAACTTCCAGTTACCCCCCTGGCTGCAGATCTACAGCTCTCTCTGGGGAGGGCTGGGAGAAGCCCTTGCTGAACTGCAGCATCTCTCTGCTCAGAGAAACAAAGACCCCCCCATCAGCACCTCCTCCAGCTTTGCAAGCCCCAGCTGATGTCCTCCCCACCCCCAGGCTCTGGGTAAGGGATGTTAAAGCCAGACTTTCACAGCCACTTCATGTAGAATCAGGCCAGTGCAGTTCAGAGATCTCCATCAGCTCCCAGCTCCCATTCCAAGGAGTGAGTACACTCTTGTACCATTAACTTGGGACAACACCTGGAAGCTTTTCTGCAGTGTGCTGGAAGCCCAGGGAGGGCAAGAAGAGCCACGGCTATCTCAGTTCCTTGCAGCAAGCAGGACACATCAGGAGAAAAATAAGGTAGTGCTATGATTCCATTAAAAAAGAACTTTAGGGCATTTACCATTTCTCACACAGAGAAATAAATAGCTGCGGTTTTCTCCTTTGACATTGGGTTTTCTTCTTGACTTTCACTACTTGGACACGCTCTTGGCAAGTCCCACCTCACTCATACCTACAGCAGCAACACCACCTCATTAATTTTTCACTACGCAGAACCACAAAGCAAGCTAATACCGACTTCGACCAGAGAATCTCCTCATCGAGAGGAGAGAGGAAGAAAAGCTTTTCTAATTATACCCTTGCACGCCCACAGGATGCCTCTAAGTATTTCTCCCAGGTAACCTGTTCCCGTGTCCTCCTTCCACAGGGCTCCTTCCCGTAGCTGAGCTCAGCAGGATGAGCCTGGCCTCCTGCCACTCCTGCCAATCGTGATGGACCGCTCCCAGACGGTTGCTCTTGAAGATCAACCAGCTCTCCTGGGTTGGCATTTCTAGCCTTCTACTTACTCCATTTCCCACAAAGCTTCAAACTCTCATTTCCCAGCCACTGAAAGCAAAGGTGCTGCGTGTGCACCACTCTTCATGTTCCCCACCAGCTCCCTCTGCTCTGCTAGACCTCCTTTAGCCAGTCTGCCCAGCACCTGGCTCAACAAGGTGTCCTCCAGCAATTCCTGAGGTCTCCAAGCTGGGCTGTGCCCTCTATCACCTGGAGCCTCAGCAGATGCCAGGGCAGAGCCAGAACCAACCCGCAGTCTGTGGGGCTTGTCCCAGCTGCCTAAAGAGGGTTGCAGAAGACATTCACACAAAGTCAACACCTTCAGTTTAGGATCTTCCCTCTCAGAAAACTGGGAGACTATTTTGAGGAAAACAAAACAAACCCAGAATCACTCCACACTTGCTTTTTTTGTTTAGAATTTTTTCTAGCCATCTGTTATTACCTACTGTCAAGACACTACTGTGATAAAGGAATTGGATTAGACAATACAGACATTCTTAAAATGATAGAAACAGCCTTCAGAAAGTATCTGGAGAAGCAGGGATCTGTGAGAAACACCAGCTCACACTTAGAATTTAAAAAGGACAAAATTGCCGAAGCAAAGGTATAAAAAATTTATTATACGAAACAGCGCTGAATCAGGTGCATCTCAAAGCAGAGGCACCCCAACCCTTTAGCTTTTTGATATTTTATACCCTTATCCCGGCAGCCTGAGTTACTGTCTCTCTTCTCATGGGCTAGAGAAGTTGGAGCTCACATTCTTCCCGACCCCCTGACCTATTACAGATCTAGTTTACACCTTTCTACCTCACAAGGCTCAGCCACCTACTCTACAAAATCATTATCCTAAACACACCTTTGATTAGTTGATTAGCTACACGTTATTTCACAGTCTTTGCTATCATCTACTGTCCAGTGTTAGCAGTTACAAGCACCCTGGTGGTCCTATCCTCATCTTCATCAGCCACCCTCTAGATGACCTTCATCCACTTGTCAGTCTCCACAGTCCTTTGTCCACTTATCAGTCTGCCATGGCCTGGCTCTCTTCACCTAGATGACTTCCCGTAGACCAGGACCCCTGGACAGCCCCAGGGCGCTTCTAAGGATTAGTTGGGTACAATGGGTGAGGCTCCACCATCACCGGGCCTCCTCCATTAATACAGACATACCAACAAAAATATATCAATTAGCTGAAGCAAAACTCAGTCCATTTCTCACAGGTCCATGTAATCTAACCTGCTGCACAGGGATCTCAGACTTTCACTTTGGATAATTGGAAACGTGGGAAGGAGAGAGAGAAGGATGCAGGAGGGGAAAAAAAATATTCAAAAAGCTTAGCATTCTCCTTCTTCATCTCAAAATAACAGAAAAACCAGCACACAAAGTCGCAAATCTAACAAAATAAACCAAGTTATGGTCAGGAAGAGAAGTACAGACTCAGTGTTACGTATTTTGGTGTGAACAGTGACCTGCAACACTGACACATCAGGCAATACCTGCAGGAAAGGGGGCTCACGTTCGCTACTTCTAACCCGTAACACGGGCATTGAAAACCCTTCCATCAACTGAAAGTTCAAGACGACATCAAATGGGAAAAATAAAACATCACCACTATTGGAAAAGCATGAACAGGAAGAGGTCATTGTCAAAAGGCTTTTGGATCACTGGAAACATTATATCCTGTGATTTAGGTATGGTTTAAATAGAACAAAATCATGAGAAGGGTCCAAGATCTGGGAAACATGCCTGATCCTTAAACTCAGTCTAGACAAGCTCATCTGGAAAAACAACTTTTCTGGCTGAGCAGCCACGGGTTCTTCCAACAGCAGGAGGTTTGCACGAGAATTGAGACTTGTTTAGAGTGGTCAGATGCCTCCCAGAAACCTGAAAGCACACACATCTCCTGTCCAGCCTCATTAAGGACCTCTCTGGGACAAACCAGAGAGGAAGAGGTTGGACAACCCACCCCTCGAAGTGGCCAGGGAGCTCCAGGGCACTAGTCCTGGCTTTTCCGAAGGCACGTAGCCCCCCAACAAATAACCTGAAGCAGCATGTCAAGGTCTGCAAATAACCCAAACAGGGCCCATGGACACCTTAATCTGCAGGAGCCACCCCACCACAGAACCCTTTCACACCATCACAACCCACACTTTATCCACCACTGCCCTTAAGAAGAGGCACAGAGGCCAAGAACAGCCTGGTGGCCTTAGCCCTGGTGTCGCTCCACGGCCACTGTGGCTCCCTGTGGTTTTGCTAATTTTAGCTAATCCTGCACCGTGGGATCAAAGTTCCTTGTGCTGGGGAACCACCACCCCAGTGACACCGATAGAACAAGCTTTGGCTACACAGGACAGAGATTAACATTCACTATCCTGGTAACAGTTGTCATCTCAGGTTCTTCAAGAAACTCATTCAATACTATCTCTCAGCCTACTTAGATAAGCAGAGCAGTTCACACCTTGGGATGCAGTAATAGCTCCCTGCTGCTTTACCAGCTGATCCAGAAGAACCAGGTACAAGGATTAAAGGCACTCTTAATAAAATAGATACACTTTAATTACCTTCTCCTCTCTCTCCTGCCCTTTTAATCCCTGTCAGATCTTTCACCCGAGTCCTTTTTTAGTTACTGCGTGTAAATAAATAAAAGCTACTACTACTCTCTGCACAGAACTGAATTTGAGAGCTTTGTAAAATTAAGTCAGGATTTACAAACTACC